TCCTGTGATGAGCAAATACATGTCAAGTAAAAGTTGATTGCATGAAGGACCTGGGTATTATATGTCACTGACAAGTCACAAATGTACTGAAGTCTTTTAACCCCTTAGGTGAGTGTGGTGGGGGAGGGGGGAGGGGAGAATGGGATTAATGGTACTATAATGATAAGAATAGATCGTCTAAGGGGGGGTGGTTTGGATGGGATAGATAGTAATGGTAATTCATGCAAAAACTAGTGATAGGACAAATCCTACTCTCAGGGCATAGAGGCCCTTGAAATACATGCAATATGATTCCCATTGCAAACATGCTGCCTAGAATATATATTCTATCTCCTAAGATTTTATGAAAAGGGAAAGTAGTGTAGTCTATGGTCTTTTTTTTAGTCTATGGTCTTGACCTAGGAAATTCCTTAATAATTATCTCCTTTGAAAAATAATATATTCACTAAATAATTATACTGTTTTGGACATTTTAACCCTTTGTTCAGTGCAGCTGTAATATTTCTGGCTATTTACTTATACCTTCAGTTTCTGATCAAACATTCATTTAAAAAATGACTCTGTGTAGTACCATGTCATAAAACAGATGCAAAAAATAAGGTTGAGGGAACATTTGTTTTCTGTCATGAGCATCTCTGTGAGGCAGTGTTTAGCCAGTAGAAACTGGTGGAAGGTTCATTATTGTCTTTCTCTGTGCTTAGTTCTAAAAGGGAAGAGATTTAAGCTTCAGTGAATGAGGTAACTTTGCCGTTTTTTAAACTGAATGTTGAACAATGCCCATCATGTATAGCATTTCATTTCCATTCATCAACATTTATTTACATACGAATGTCCCCAAAATAAGAGAATGTCTGCTTCTGTTGCAGTTATATGATTAGCAAATAAAAATACCTCCACAGTTTAAAATACTGCTGTGTGTAGTTGAAGCAGACTTAAAGTAAAACTTAGAACAGTTACAATCTGGTCATTTTTTAATTCTGTATATGTAGAACCACTTTTCCCCCTTCATATCTTTGAAGATGTGATCTTAATTGAAATGCTTTCTTGAAACTTATTCTCTTCTATTTATTCCAAAATTTTAACACATTTAGCCTTTGCATGTTGACAAAGCTTGCACCTTGAAAACTTAAGTTTGATACTGCTTTAATTTTGGCAGCAAAATTGCTAAGAGTCTTTCCCACAGGTTAGAAACTGCTAACGTTGTATTAAAAGTTAGCTAAATTTACATTAAAGAAAAATTAGGAAACAATTCCTCAAATTTGTAATTTAGGTTTTTCTTAAGAAAAAAACATTAATCTCCTGAATGCTGGGATATAATATCAGTTCTTCAACATCTACCCTCCCTGTCTCAAAGCTAACCAAATAAAATAATCTTAGCCCTCCCTTCCCTTCCTATTTTGATAAGCTCTGTCTGAAGAACTGCAGTGGCTTTGCAAGAGTACTGTTTAATTACAATCCAGTTGTCAGCAGCTTCTCTTCCGCTGGGTGTGCTGAGAGACTTAAGTAAGTTTCCGTAAAGTAAATTCTGATGATGGCAGCTCAGGTTGCTGATTCAAGTTATTCCTTCTCTTTTGTGTCACTTTTGACGGATGGTACCTAATGCAATCAACCACAGGCCAAGAAAGCCTTTTCTTTGGTTGTGTTAGTATCTGGACCAGGAGTTCCCCACCTCCCCAGATCTCTGCCATCAGATTCTCCCTCTTCCCTCCCCCCCCCGCCAATACTTCAGCTCACATAGGAAAGCGAAAAGAACCACAGTACAATCCTAGGACAGGCTTTTCCTAAACCTCCATTTCCCAGTGGTGAAGCTGAAGCTGCCTCCCTTTGCGTGTGTTTTTGATAAATTTAAGAAGTCAAATCGCTGACACAGATAGATAATCCAAGTGTATAGGGTGAAGAGTTATAAATTAACACATTATTCCCTCTTAATGTGAAATACTTGAGAATGCATTTTCTCAGTCCCTTGACATCTACCCAGTGAGGGCTCACATTGTACTTTTCAAGTGGCATTGATTTGTTAAAGCGCTGAATTAGCATCTCCGGCCAGCTGCTTGATCAACTGTTGTGTCTCAGGGCTCCAATTCCTCCTCTCTCCCCAAGCCATCCCTTTTTTTCTTTTGGTCTCTCCTTTCTTTTCTCTCCCTTTCCCTGCTTCTTTCCGTTTCACTCTTCCCCAGCTCATTCTCATTCTCTTTCTCTCTCATCCCCTTCTTTCCTGTTGCTTGCTTTTCTTTCAGTCTGTTTTCATCTCACACCATCTCTTTTCCTTTTTCTTTTCTTCACTCTTTTATCCATACATCTTTCCTTTTTCACCTCGTCACCTCTGAGGTTGGCCCTCACGCAGGGTTAGAGTCTGTTAACTGCCTGCGTAGGGGGTAGTGGTAGTTGATGTAGCCAGTCTCAGTTCCAAGTGGACTCTTGTTGAGGAGAATAAATTAACATGTGCGTTTTTGTGCTCCTTGTAATAGAAGTTGTTGAGAAAAGTCTCACCTATTTTGCTTTCTAGTAATTAAAAGTTATCTCACAAAACTTTTAAACTTGTATTTTTAAAATGTCATTTAACATAGTAAAATTTACTTTTGGTTAAAAGAAAATGAAAATCACCTAGATTTGATCATTTTACATGTATTCACCAAAATAAGTTAATATTTTTGCAAAACTTGAATTTTTGCAACTTTTCGCATTTCAGCGACGTATTGATTTGACTTTCTTTTCTAGTGGGTTCTATGTTCTGATTCCACTTAATTGTAATTGCAGAATTTCATGTGAAATATGATTTCCTCGTAATGATGCATCACTGTACCACGGCAACGAATCATAAAATTGGTGGACATTTGTTTATAAAAAAATGACATTGGTTCTCACTTCTTTTAGTGATATATCTGAGTTCCAGAGCTCTTCAGAAGAAGTGTATCACAAATGAGAGGGTTTAACATGCTACATGTGCAATAACACAGACCTTCGCTCTTTTCTTTGTATATTGGTTCAAAATACTTTGGGATCACTGTGTTGATTAATTTGATATAAGCAAAAAGTGTATCTGCCTGTATTTAAATAGAAATTATCCCCTAATTTTAATCTCATGGCTTCATGTTTTGCTGCCTTTAATTTTACTAGGTTTCCCACTAGTAACATCAAAATTGAAATTTGAACATACATTGATAATAAATCAGATTATTCGAAAAAAATCAAATGTTTTTATTGCCTTGTTTTATATAGATTAGAATGACAGTTTGGTTTCAGCATTTACATTTTGAAATGGAAATATTTTACATAGGTTTTGATAATCTTTTCTTCTCTGTTGGGTTGATTTCCCACCCCTTGCCCCCACTAAGTGAAATATAATTCTTTTTAAAAAAAATTAATCGGCTGTCCTATCTAGAATTAGCATGGCTTGGCTAAGGTAAAGGGATTAGAGTGACTTTTCAAGGCATGATAATGTCTGTTTAAAGGAAAGAAAAAGGAAAAAAGTCTTTTAACTAGGGCTTAAGACTAATTCCAGCTACTAAGGAGACAAAAATTACTCTAAAGACAATTTGGTTTTATTTTATATGTACATGTTAACTTGCTTAGAGATCATCATTTTGTGTTTTAAGGTACTCTCTTAGAGGAAATAAGATGTTCTGCATTTGTTACTGAGAAGGAGGCATGGCTCCTTCACTCCGGGAAATTGAAGTTGGAACACCTTCTGTTCTTTTGCAAGGATAATCACACTTCACCTGGCTGTAATTCAGGGGCATGGCAAAGAGGGGTTTGCTGCTTTTTAGAACTGCCTGTGACTACAGTAGAGAGGATAAATCATAAGAAAGAATAATAGGGCAAGGTTGAAATTGAAAGTGTCCCATAAGAAAATAGTTAAAGATTAGAAAAGAAAATGAATAATCAGAAAAGTGAAAAAAGAAATATGGAAGGGATACTTCAGTGGTAGGAGAGAAGTTGAGGATAAAGATAAAAGGGATGTTTGGGGGACAGAATTATGGTATCTGGTAACTTAAAAATTAGTACTGTTGTGATTGTTTTTTAAGGGCCTAATTGGCATCACAGCAGGGTTTAAAATTTAAACATTTAAAACTTTTCATGTGTTTTTAATGTTTCATTTGTTGCACGTGGTTTTTTTTCTTGTTCCCTTTTGTCAGTTACATTCTTTGGAAGGTAGAAATCTGCACAAGTAATAAATCAATAAATCCTTTTTTTTTAATGAAATATAATCTGTTGCTTGTACTTTAGCCACATGAAATGGTTAATAAGTGTGGTTGTTGTAGAATTGAACACCTTTTAATTTTTCTTTAAAATTCTCAGGAGAAATCAGAATTATTTCTGTTTTTGTCTTTTGTAAGTCTAAATTAAATGTCACTTAAATGGGAAAGAACTGGCAGCTTTGATAAGTAGTCCCCAAAGCAAACCATTTTGTCAGTAATCATAACCTAATTATGAATGCAATTGCAAGGTTTGTTTTTTAAAAAATCCAAAACAAACAAAGGAAGAAAAACCACTATACAATTTAAGGAAAAAGCATCCAGCACTTAAACCTAAGACTTTCAATAGTATCAGTAATAATAAGAAAGAACCTTTGGCATTGGCCCAAGTCCTGTTGAGAGAGAGCAGCAAATGGCCTGCACAGTGTGTGGCTCTGCATAAGTTCCAGAGTGACACATGCCTCACAAGCAGGTCACAATGCGAGGGATCAGGGGTCATGTTCAAGAGCAGGGTGTTGCTGGACGAGTCTGAGGAAGCAGAGGTGGCCCCTCCGTGCTCAGCGTGTGGGTCTGTGTACTCCTTTCCCGTCAAAGCTGGCCCAGCACGGCCAAAAAAGCGGTTCCTTGGCAGGGTTTAATGGCAGGATGATGTAGTCTGTTGTGACTAGTGCATTCCTTTCAGGTTAAACTAGGGAAATGGCATTGTGTTAAAATTCCAAGTTGCATGAATGTTTTATTGCCACAGTGCATTTAGCCCTCTAGGGGAGTGTGTGGTGGCGGGTGGGGGTGGGGGTGGTGGTGACTTAGAGACTCAGGAACTATCAGAAGAACACTTCCCTTGGAAAATTTTACCCACCAGCATGAAGCTGATTTGCTGTGATGGTCACTTAGAAGGGTTTCGCTTTTTCCTAAACTGTGGCTGTTTAAAGTCTTGCAGTCTGGACAGTTAACAGCTGAAGAAAATATGACAAGACACATGCAAAGAGGTTGGGAGATAGAGAGGAGAAATGCGCCAGAAAGGAGCTGAGCTGCCTTCTTGTGTAAACTGCCCGAGTTAGGGCCCCTCCCCCAACCTCGGTCCTTGTCCCCCCCACCCCCCTTCCCAGGGCTGTGTTTTGCTGTCTGCCTGAAGGCCGGGAGTGATCTGTTAACCTTGCACCACTGACTGGGAGGCCACTGCAGCTCATGGTACTGTATGTTACCATTACTACTCCCTCATTCCTTTTCACTGGCTGGTTTGGTGGGGGGTTTTTTTGTTGTTTTTTTTTTGTTTTTTAACCATTTCTCTGTAATAACGGTTTATGTTAGTCAGAGGGATACAATTTTGGAATGCAGAAGGTCTGAGTTTAAAACAAAACAAACTTAAGTATGGTGCTTTTTTTTTTTTTTTTTCCTTGTCATTCAGAAGGGCTAAACTGAACCATTCTAATTCAATTGCAGCCAAAGGTTTCCAGTGTGATTTAAAAATCAGGAATTCTGGAAATAGGGCAGTAAAAAGTGTAGTCATCTGGGTTGTGGATCTTGTAAAGGAACTTTGTTGCGAAACCACGTGAGCATCTTCAGGGTTTTAGGACAGCCTCAGGCTTTGCACTTATCTCAGATATATCCATTTTGCAGATTGCTCCTACCTTGTCCCTCTCTGGGGAAACTCTAGCTTTCTCATTCACTATTCCAGGTGTTTCAGGCTTACAGTTGATTAGGGCGTGTAAGATTTGACCAGTTGTAATTGTGCATGTAACACTCAGGATTGCTTCATGATTCGATCTGATTCAAGTTAATTTATAACATTAAAATGTGGATGTATGGGACAATCTTCTGATTTTGCATTGTGACTTTAAAAAAATAATTTACATTTCTGATTTTTTCCCAATGAGTAGGAGAAATATGGATTGCCTTGGGCTTACTTAAGAAAAGATATTTTAATAGTTTGAATTTTAGTTTTGAATTGCCTTTCTGTTTTCACTTTCAAACCGTCATACTTTGTTTTCATGTTCTTATGATGTGTCATTTTCTCTTAATAATGTATATGTATATACATATTTAGAATTGTGTATGTGTGCTTGCCTTGCACGTGCATGCACACTTTGATAACTACCAAATACATATAAGGAAAAACTTGCAGATATACTAAGATAGTTTTCCATTGTTAAGTTATTTTTTAAAAAAATGGCATGTAACAGAAATTTATCTTATGAATGTACCACAAAAAAGTAAACCATAGGTGGGTCTTTTTGCCCATTTTATAGTATCTTTGGTACATGATTTATATATTTCTGTAAAAGCATGTTTTGTCAAGATAGACCTCCTGAGTTTAATCTGATTGATACTGGCTGTATGATGGTTTGTTCTTTATGAACAGGTACATTCACATTGTTTATGGGAGGTCTTAAACCAACAAGCAATCAGATATATAGCAAAGTCAAGATTTATATATAGATTGGTCACTTCAAATTTTACATGAATCTATTAGGTATTTTTTCTTATATTCTAGAGAAAACTCACCTTAATTCTTTTTATGCTGTTGGATGTAGTAAAGTGATGATGGAAGTTTTCTTTTAGTGATTTTAGTGATTTTTTTCCAGTAGAATATCAATCTTATTTTGTGCTGGATAATTTTTTCCTTATAGCCAATTTCCAAATTATTTTTTTCCTAAATAGTAGAAAAACTTAACAGTGCTTAGTTAAGAAAAAACCTATCATGTACATTTAGATTTACTAAAAATATGTTTTTTATCCTGATCATGGAAGCAGTTTTTGATTATAACAAGGATGCTATGGATGTATTCAGCCCTTTTCAGTTTGATTAAAATTGTCCCTTCATAATCCAAAAGGGAAAGCATGGAATTACTCTAATATGTCTCCCTAATAAGAAAATTAAAGTCGGTTTAGGATTTTTCCCCTAAAAATCAAACTTTCTTAAAATATTAATACTTGTCCTTTCAGCATTTTTCTGTTCCCATTGCAGCAGACATTAGTGTTGGCCATTGTAGAACTCTCGTGGGGAGTTAAAAGATCGGACCTGAGTTCATATTCTAATGTTGCCACTTAGTCATGTGACCTTGGGTAAGTCACTTTATCGCTAACCTTTATTTTCTTCAACTTTAAAATGGGGAAAAGAACACGTAGCTTGAGAATTTGTCAGGAACATGAAATGAGACAACACATGTTAAGCTCAGGTACATTACTAGGTATTCAGTAAACTGTAGCTTCCTTTGAGCCTGTGGCAAGCTTCCCTTGTGAAGCTTGAAGTTTTGGAAAGGGGATAAGTTTAGAAAAAGTATTTTAATTTCTTTAGTTATCTATAGGAAAGGAGATAGTAAGCATCGGCAGAGAACTTTCTTTTCTTTTCTTTTTCTTTTTGAGAATCTGTTTTGTCATCTGTAAGTCTTGCGTTTTGGCCACTCTGCAAAATTCTCACCTGGTTGGCCTTCATGGATGTCAGACTCATACTGTTATTTCCATGATATCAGTTATGGCTAATGGTAGGCTGAAGGCAAAGAGGTAAACCCAATTCTGTTGGATTCTGTTTACCTTAGTATCATCAGCTCTAATCATTTGTTTGAATTGAAGCTTCCTGCCTTATTATACTCATTATCATTAGCACTCGATAATAGAGCTCGAAGTTAGATTTTATAGGTTAAGAACCCAGCTTTTGTCTCTGGCTTCATGAGTATCATTTGTATTTGTGGAATTTAGGTCACATTAAAGCTAATAGTATTTATACCTCTCTATTTGTTGAGCAAAATGTGCTTCTTTTAAGGTTGGTTTTTAATCATGGATTATGTTTTTATCAAAAGTAATGGTGTTCTCATGTGTAGTACACTAATATTGTCATAGATGTTCATTGATTATTATTGTTATTTTTGCCTAACATCTAGTTTCTTTAGGTTAACCCTAGAATGAACATACTGCATCTCAAGATCTAAAGTGAATATTTGGCTTGAGGTTTATGTTCACCTGTTACTAAGAGTAGAAGAATGAGGATTAACAACTATTAATTTCATAGCTACTTCTTAAATCACACAGTGTGCTAGGGTTAGTATCTTTTATTTTATTCAGTTATTACAAAATTCACAGGAAAAGCTAATCCCTGTAACTTTAAAAGAGGATATATCTAAGGGCAAATTGGGGTAAATATAAATCTAAAGCAAATTACAGTTATATCATTGTACAGCTTTTCATATGTCAATTTTCAGGGCACAGATTTTGTTTAATTCTTAGCAGTGAACTAATTTTACTGTGAGAAAAGTCATAAAAAAATCAGTCCCAGTTTTGTGTCTAACTGGAATCTGTGTCTGCAAATGTATCCAGACTATTATTTCAGTTTGAAAATATTAGTTTTTGTGCTCAATATTATAAAATGGTATAGCATATCTGTAAAAGACATATATGTATCATATATGCATATATGTATAAATATAAGGATGAGAGAATATAGATTAATCTAACTGAGAAAATAGTGTAAAAAACACAATATTTTAAGTAAATTATTTGTAAAACAAATTATTGACACGGCAATTTTATTACGTCATTGTAAACTAGGAATTTCAAGTTTTTTCACCTGCTAAATTTATACTGGGATTTTATATAATACTTCATTAGAAATATAATTTGTTTCATTAGCATGGTGGAAAAAATCCAGATTTTTTCTGGATGTATCTGCATTTGAATTTATCGATTCTTTATGTGACCTTGGAAAATTTTTATAAACTCTCTGAACCTCAGTTACTTCATTTATAGAATAGGGCTTAGAAATGATGCCTGTAAGTCTGGCACAGAGAGAGTGAACTGTGTTGGTGTTTATTAGCATTTTCTTTTTCTGTAGTTCCTATTGTAATTAGTTTGCAAGCATCATGCAGTATTCAGTTAGTATCTCTTCAACAACGGTGATACAGAGTTCTTAATACTTGTATCATGTACATACTTGGCCTTTTGGAATACTAGTTAAAAAATATACTTGTGCCAATCTTGCAGAAGCTTGCTTTTGTTGAAGAAAATGAGGGTGGGAGAAAAAAAAATCTCTCCTTTCTTTCTCTTCACTGAGAATCAGTCACTGAGCAGCATAATTCTAAAATCTTATGTGGCTTTTGGGTACTTTATGAACCTTTTTATGGTAACCCAGAAGCAAGACACTGATTGCATTAATACGTTTCCATCAAGACGCTATTCTGTTAACCTCTCCTCTTCTTCCTAACCCATGGATGCTTTTGTAAGAGACTTCGTTGATCCAACAGTGAGGTCGCCACATATAGTGTGGATGCCAATTCATAGCTATGTAGTTTATTGATAAGTCTAAGAGCCTTTCTCTTTTTAAAACAAAAAGGAAAACCCAAAATAGCAACAACCAAACCAAAACTCCCACCAAATCAAAAAATTTCAAAAAACACTTTATTTTTGAAAAAGTGCTTTATAATGCAGAATCTAAATTTTGCACACTGATTTTTATTTTTAGTAGATTTAAACTTTTTTATAGCTTTTGTAAAAAGGATTTATATTTGGTGTGTAGATCTGATTTTAAAACTACAGAAAGTATAACGGGAATGCTGCTACCAAGGAACCATCTTATTAACATCTTTTTAGTCATCTTCATTTATGTTTACAGAAAAATGTAGAGATAGATACTAGTTACATAAAGGGATTATGGACATGTGACTTCCTTTTTTTTTTTTTAACTCAAATATGTTATAGTTATCTTCCTATGTCTATAAATATAAAAACTCATCATAATTTTTAGTGGATTCCTAGTATTCTTATTGTACCATAATTTACTTAATGAGTTCTTGGTTTTTGGACATTGAGGTTTTGCCAGTTCTTTTATGAAGAATGGTGCTGCAACATGAACATTCTTGTTTGCACTTGTATTATTTCCTAAAGGTGAATTCTTGAAAGTGACGTTTGTGGTGAAAGAGGTGTAATTTTGCACAGTTTAAAAAGGTTGGCAAACCTTTTCTGTATTTCTGTGCCAGATAGTAAATATTTTAGGCTGCCATATGGTTTCTTTAGCAACTGTTCAACTCTGTCTTTGTAGTTGCAGACAGGCACAGATTATATATGTAAAGGAATAGACATGGCTATATTTTAATAAAACTTTATTTAGAAAAGTAGGCAGCAGGCAGCAGTTGGCTCACAGGGCCAAATGTAATTGTCTATTTCCGATTTGAAACAAAAGAGAAACTATGGTTAGGGATGAAAATTAATCCCCAGTTTGCTATAAGCTGATCTTAGAAATGTATTCATATCTCAGGGCGGTGTAATGGGCTGGTTTCTTTCTTTCCAGGTAGATTGCAATCAATACCTTTTTTAAAGGGCTTATTAAAGGTTTTTTTATACCCGCCCCTACTCTGAAGCTGAGTAAATTTTAAACTAAGAGACCATATATATGTCAGTTTATATAAATTATCTTTCTGTAGTTTAGATTTCAGCATATGTTGACAATTTGCGGAGCACAGAATGACCTCTTAAACTTATATTGTAGAGAAGATCTTGTACATTTTCTCACCTCTAGAAGATTGCCTCGATGGAGTCAGGTTCTAGAGGTATCTTGAAGTAAGCTGGAAGGGAAGTTTAGCAAGAGAAGTACCATTTCAGCAGAAATATGCCACAAATCAACAGGGTGGCATCGATTTAGTTACTGAAACTTTACAGGCTAAATTATACTCAGAAGAATGTTCTGTGCATAAATAGTAATCTCCTTGCTTCTTGAATTTCTGTAAAATAGGAATTATTGGCCCCTAACTGCCTTAAGGGTATTTGTTGAGGATAAGGTGGAATAATGATATAGTTAAAATCACTCTTTTTGTAACATTGGGTCACTGGTGGCACTATGAATTTTAAGAGATTTATTTATTATTTATTTCACATGTACTTGTTGACTGTTGTGTGTAAAGCAGTTTGGTAGGCGCTGTGGGGAAATACAAAGAAAAGTGAGTGAGTTCTTGCCCTGAAGGAGAGAAAAACACATATTTAAAGTCCAAGGTTTTGTGGTGCTTTTGAGAGCCCTAAGAATAGCAGAACACTGGGGGAGGAGATCCCTTCTGCCTGGGTTATCAGAAAAATTTGTGGAAGAAGTGGCATCAGGAAATAGGGAGATTTTCAAATGTATAATACAGGGGAGGATATTCTAAAAAGAGCAGCAGGAGAATTGTGTCAAATTAGGAAAGCCCAAATCAGTAAGCAAGAGACATCAAATAGTTTAGACTCTCTATTAAGTATTTGTCATGAAGAGAAGACAAAGCCTGAAAGGCAGAGTAGAACTAGGTGGTAAAGGGCTTGGAAGGAACTTTAATTGATAGTTTGTAGGGGATCTCTAAACATCATCTAGAATATGTTCGATGGTTGGGGGAGTTGGGGCGGGTATATGGTACTTGTCGGTGAGTGTGGAACGATAAAGTTGGGATTATCACTTAAGAGTTATGGCAAATGTCTGAGTATGCTCTCATTAGAAATGATTTGGAAGGTGTGTCAGGGGGACTGCTGAGGGGACTGAAAGGGAAGAAGGGACAGGCTTTCAGAAGTTACTGGCTTTGGGAAACAAGGAGAAGGCTCTTAGTCATGACCTACGGTTCTGAGTCTTTGTTAATGGGATTATGGTGATAACATTGCAAAATATAGCAAAGTCAGGGGAGAGCTGTAGTAAAAAACGGGTAGTAATGAACCCAATTGCATTGCTTGTTTAGCTCAAGGTATTAACTGGAAATTTCTAGTGAGAGTTTGAAAGTACAGGACTAAGATTCACACGAGAAGTAAAGAATAGGGATTTGGAACTGTTCTCGTGTAGGTGGCAGATGAAACCAGGGAAGAGCATCACATCACTAGAAGGAAAGCATGTGGTGAGAAAATGGTATTTTATAGCATTTCTTATCATTATGTAAGTCAGTGACATAAGTAGCTCTATGTGAGGCTATTAACACCAAAAACATAGGAAAAAAAAACATGTATTTTATTATTTATAAAGCATTCTGTTGTCTACTAAGCTTCTTTTAGCTTCTGAAGCCACTAGATTTTAGGAGTAAAATATGTTCAGTTTGGAATAAAAATACCTCGTTTTATAAGATCCCCAAGGA